TGAACTATTGACCCACGGAAGAAAGATTATGAGATGTTCTAAACTCCTCTTCCTTTTTTATTTATAAGAAAATACACTTTTGTGGCAGCAGGGAGAGTGTTCTAAACTCCTCTTTACTAGTAGGACTAATAAGAATACAACATACAAAGGAGATTCAGAGATAATGCCCCAATTTACTCTTCCAATAGCCTCAACTCCACGTAAAGCCAAGAAATCTAAGGCAACAAACAAAATGCAGGATGCAAAGAACTTAAGTTCAGGATATAAGAAGCATCTGAAATTGAGGATCTTATCAGAATGTCATATTCTGGTTTTTCATTTGCTACATGCCTACTCCATCTAATAGCTACACTAACACAATTCAACAGCTTTGCCATTTTGCTTATTGAGTGCCTTCTTACCGTGCTACTCCAGTCCAAAGAGGCAGGAAATAGAGAAGGAATGGGAAACCTATTTTGGCCAGTAAAAAAGGCCAAAGATACTAAAAAGGAACAATGGAATCAATATCGTAAAGCAACCACAGAATGTGGTTGTAACTCTTCTTTGAGGATGATGGCAATAGCAGAAGCCAGGCTAAAATGACTGAGAACAGACTCAGGAAAGACCAGAAGCATTTAGTTTTCTTTTTCCTTTCTTTGTCTATATTCTTGACAGGAAGTGTGCTTGGGCTGAGAGATACAAAGACGGAGAAAGCAGACATTCGCCATCCAATATATATGGCACGAAATCAAGTGGAGAACCCTGTTGCCCAAATTTAAAACTTCAGATACATTTAACTTGTTGTATACTCTTTTGGGTCAATCAAATCGTTTAGGAGTTTCAGATTAGTGTGCAATTGAAGAGAGACTCGCAAGATAGGATGCAACACTCATGCAACTGAAACGTGCTAGAAAATCTACCTACGGACTCCAGGACACCATGGTATGAACAAGCACTCAAGCAGAACATCATGATTTTTTCTTTCTTTTGATAACCGTGGTGTCTGTTCCAGCTTTCACGCAACTCAACTTATTATTTCCACGGGATACATGTCACCTCCCACCAGCAACAAGTACCAAGTAACTCTGTCCTCCAAGGCTAGGAGGACGAATCGAAAAATCACCAGGTGTTTTTTCATTCCCGCTAGGAAAACATCATGAAATTGTTTACACACCCATACAACTCTCTTTCTAGCCCAAGCTCACACCAAGAACTACTGAAAACAATTTCTTCACTCACACAAGTACAAACATTTTCTTCCTTATTCCTTTATTGGAGTTAGCAAAAAAAAAAAACCTAAGTTGATAACTTTATCACATCTTATACACAACCCACAAGTACAAACACTCTGATTAACCAGCAGGAATGATAACAAATGCAAAACATAAACCCCTTCACTAATTTAGTACACTTTTTTACTACAGACATTTTCGTGATAATCCAAAACACACCCACTTCATTTCTCTCTAAGGGAAAGCGAAAAGCCATCAAATTGGGAATTTTCAAAAGCTTAATACTTTGTACTACCTGTTTGCGATTATCAGAGAAGAGGCAAAAAAATCTGCCATTGCACTGGAGCTTGTGTTGTAAGGAACGGAAACTCTTTTCGGCGGTGGGGGAAGGAGCAGTTAGCAGCGCCGGCCGGGTCAAAGATGAGGTGGCGCGGTGGTGGTGCGGTGGTGCTGGGGTTGAAACTTGTAGGCTCAGCACCTGCGCCATAGCCATAGATTTTGGGTTTTGCTAAGGACTTGTTAAATTGGGCAAATGGCCCAAATGAGTTGTTTTTGGTGTGCACCACTGGAGGCATTACAAACCGGCCGCGTCTCCAGGGCCCCGTGGAACTAACCGTGGTGGACCCGCCTTGAAACAGCGGGACCCGGTGGATACAGCTAGTCGGGTTCGCAAAGCGACGCCCGGAAACCACGGTAAAAAAAAAAAAAAAGTCGGGTAAACTCATTTTAAGTTTTTGGTCCGAAATTGAAGTATAGCAATATGAATGTTTATAAATTGGGAAAATTATATATATAATAACAAACTATTAATTCAAATTAATGCTATAAATATGCTTTGATTTAATTGTACCCTATAACAAACTATTGCTATTTTCGCCACTCTCCCTGGTCGAATCTCGCTCGCCACTCTCGTTTGGTGGCAGTCTCGCTCGCCTCTCTTGCTTTTATACAAACACAAATGTATAAAATGTGTTTGCGTTTGTATAAAGCGAGAGAAAATTGTATATATACATATATTTTTGTTCCCCTGTCTCCCCTCTCCTAGATCTCGCTCGCCACCCTCGCCTCTCTCGCTTAAACAAACAGAAATGAAATGTATAAATTGCGCTTTTGTTTGTATGAAGCGAGAGAAAATTGTATATACACATGCAAATACATATATTTTCGTCCTATATACTTATAATTATACAATACAAATATTTCTCTCCCCGGTTTTCTTTTGCCTTTTTCTCTTTCTCGTTTTATACATACACAAATTATACAATTGATCTTTTGTATACAACTGCTTTCTTTTGTATATGTATAGCGAATTATACAACAACTTTCTTTATATATGTATAGCGAATTATACAACTGTTTTTTTTGTATATGTATAGCGAATTATACATATATATGTTTGCTATGGAGCGCAATTATGCAAACTTTGCTATAGCATACAAGTATGAATTTTGTGTTTGCTATATGTGAAAGTTGTTCTTATAAATTTACGTAGATTACGTATTTGAACAAATTGATAAATGACTATAAGTAGGGTTGGATGTTTGGTTTTTATTAAATTTTGGTTTGGTTTGATTTTTCAACTTCAGTTCGATTGGTTTCGATGTTTTTAAAATAATTTTTTTAGTGCAAATAAGAAATAAAATAAGGACCAAATCAAAATATAAGATACTAAAAACAATTAAAATACTTACATGTGATTAGTGATCATCTTTTGGTGTAATTCTGATGGTCAAACAACTCCTTTACTTTGTCTATTGTGTTGTTTGAATACTCCAATTTATAAAATGATTATCTAATTAAATGGTTTTAAATTTTGATGGCCCATGTTAGTGTTGGTCGCTGGATATACACGAGACACGGTAAAAATGTGTTGGAGGGTTTAATTGTTATTTGTGATTAAGTTAAAGCGTTTACTTGCCAGTTAATGTTAAATTTGAATCCTACTTATATATTATGCATGTATCAAATAGATAAAAAGATTAGTAAGAAAGAAACTATAGGATAAAGAATGAAGTAAAAAATGAGAGTACATAGTTTCTCTGTCATTTTTTTTTGCTCGATGCTCAATGTTTGATATTTATGTTGAAATACTGATGAAGTAAAAAATGAGAGTACATAGTTTCTCTGTCATTTTTTTTTGCTCGATGCTCAATGTTTGATATTTATGTTGAAATACTGATTAATTTAATGACGCCTCACTCAAAGTCCACTTAAGAAGAAAATACGTGTTCAATCTTTTTTATGTCAAACTCAAATTCGAGACCTCAAATTAAATGTAAAGTGATAAGTATTATCTATGTTTATGGAAAATCTTGTTTTGCATTGCAAAGATTGTGAGCTTCATCAAGTTGTTGACCAAACCCAATCTTAATCAAACGGCATGTAGCTGTGACACGCAAACACTCATTATTTCCCAAAATAACCTCACTTTTTCATGGTAGAGTAACATGGCCTCAAGGGTATTTAAGTAAACTTAAACCCAAAAAAAAGAGCAAAAAATAATTCAAAAACTGTTGGGAAAGACAAGACAATTCCAATTTTAGCCCAACCTCTTTTGGGCCCACCACTTTATCTTTATCCTCTCAAATAGTACTATTCTTTTACCTTTTTTGCTCTAAAATCAAAGGTCCCCACTTCACATAATTACATTTATAACCTTGCTTCTTCTTGATGCTAACACATCGTTTGTTTCAATTTACGTCAAGGTGTTCGACTAAACTCTATAATAATAATAGTAAGAATATGCATAATCATAAGTGAATTCTGGAAAAATATATGCATACAAGTCTACAGTTTTCTTCTTATTTTATTTTGTGAAGATAACAAAATTCTTTAACCTGAATAAAGAATATTTTTTTGATACAAATTAAAAATAAGGTTATGGCACTGAAAAGTATTGTCCAGTGACATTCAAGTGTTTGACCTAGTGATCAATGAAGCGATTGAGAATTATGAGGTCACAGATTTAAAATTTCAACGGGAATAAAAAACACTTCTTCTCATTTGTCTTAGCCTTGATGTACAGAGTTACATATTACCTATTGTTGGTGGGAGGTGATAGATGTCCCGTGTAATTAGTCGATATGCAAGAAAGCTGGTCATCATAAAAAATCTTCTAGTAATCAATCAGGTAAATTAAAAATCATGAGATTTCATATTTAAATTTCAGCAAAGCACAAAAAAGTACTCTCTTCGTCTCATATTAGATGTACACTTTCTATTTTACTGGCAATTAAGAAATCATTAATAGATTCATCAACTTTATTATTTTTTTCCTTTTCTCATATTAATTACCCTCAGGGAAAATAAATTCTTGGATCTTCAAAATTTATTTAGACTCTCAAAGGCTATATTAATTGTTGAGATAAAATGAGAAAAAAATTAATTAATTCTATTTTGATTTAGTAAATGATCAAGTAATACATTATAAATAATTTTTAGTAAAACATCCATCTAATATGCGATAGAAAGAGTAGATAACTCTATTTGTCCAAACTGTAATAAACCAAATTATTCAATACTTATATTGCATATATTATGCAAAATTAATTAAAATGCGTATAAATTGATTTGGATACGAAATTATTTAAAAAGAAAAGAAAAAAGGTCAGAAATGGGACCCTTAGAGAGTAGAGAGCATGGAAAAAGTGCAAAAAGTAGTAAACAAACTTTTAAATTAAGCAAGGGTATATTCGTCATTAAATACTTATATATCAGATAAGAGAGAGAGAGAGAGAGGCACAGCCATTAACAGAGAAAGAGAGTGAGCTTGAACAGAGAGAAAGAAGAAGAAGAAGAACAGAGAGAGAGAGAACATTAACGCCGTTAACTTCATCGTTACTGTATGAAAGCAAAGCTATGGTGTCGGACCAGGAAATAGCTAGAGGTGTTGAGATTTTGCTCCGTCAATCGGACCCTAACGCCGTTACATCGTTAAATGGCGTCGTACAACAGCTCGGAGCAAAACTTGGACAGGACCTTTCACATAAAGCGGAGTTTATCAGTGATCAGATCAGTCTTCTCCGATCACAGCCACCGCAGCTTATTTCTCCTCCGTTGATGGTTAAAGACCATTTTACCCTCCTGAACCACCCACAATTTGCTAATACTCAAGCTCAACAACAGTTTTATTCTCATTTTGCCCTTCAACAACAACATCATCATAACCAGCACCAGCAACAGCAGCTCTACTTTCAGCACCATGTACCTCCACTGCTGTCTCCGCAACAGCAGCACCGGCAACCACCGTCACTGCAACCACAAGTGCAGATACAAGCTCCGGCGCCGGTGGTGGTGAGAACAGCTGCTGCTCCAGCTCAACATGCTTCGTCAAATGTCGCTTATGTCCCTAAGGAAAGGTATGGTGTATTTCGTTGTAGTATAATTCGGCGAGGATAAGTTTGTCTTTTTAACTTTTTCAATGTAAGATGAAAATTAATTTTACTGAAAATACTATTTAAGAATTTATTTTATTTTATTTTTTTGCTAATTTAAAGTTGGTGCTGGTAGTTGGGCGAATATAGGTGGAGTAAAAAGGGGTAGTCTTTTTATTGTTTTTCTAAATTAATACTATGCTCTTATGTCATTTGATTACGTTATTGAATCGTGGTAGCAATTTTGCATGAAAGCTGGATCAGACACCACGATTTATAAAAAGAAAAGTTGGTAGCAATTTTGACAGTATAGGGCTATTATTTGGCCAAGTCAGGATTTTGTTACAACCTTACAAGAGTAGACAAAGTATTTAAATCATTGTTGGATAAAAAAAACTAGAGAGTTAATTGTATGTACTAATGGTCATCGACATAATCAGAAGAAATGAACGCACAAATGGAACACGAATGAGTATTATTTAGGGGATGTAATTTCGATCTAAACTTGGAAACCCGTATCTTTATATATGAAGTTACTTTGTCCCCTTGAAAACCAATAAAGTACTCTATACTTCTTCACTACTCGTACATGATTGATAGAGTTAAACTGTATTGAGGGAATTATTTTGTCTCAATCAATCAATAATACATCACATTTACCTTTCTTAAGTAGGTAGTTGTAAGTTGTAACAATTTTCTATTGTTTTTCACCTTTTTTCGTTTTCTAAAGTGAATTTGAACCTTGGGGAGTTAGTTCTTTCATTTGTCTGAAATGTTCAATAAATGATATCTGATTCAGTTAAGTAAACATATACATATCCCCCTAGTTATAAGAGTTGAGCGAATCGTTATGGTTTCACTATCCAAAGCATCCTGTATTTGATACGGTTTTTGTTCTGTCCAGTGCTACTTCTGGAACAAAAAGGAGAGGTGGACCAGGTGGTCTTAACAAAGTCTGTGGTGTTTCACCTGAACTTCAGGCTATTGTTGGTCAACCCACAATGCCCAGGACAGAGGTATGATTGTCATATCAAAAGTTCCCGAGTTGTAGTTGGCTGTCATTACATAGATCATATATACATCTTTCTTTGCTCGATCAGATTGTGAAGCAGCTGTGGGTGTACATCAGGAAACACAACTTACAGGATCCTGGTAACAAGCGAAAGATTATCTGCAACGATGCTCTGCGAGCACTCTTTGAAACAGACTGCACCGACATGTTCAAGATGAATAAGCTGCTGGCTAAACATATCACGGCACTCGATCCTTCAAGTATGTCAAATAATAAATGATATCCGTTCGTAATAATATCTCTTATTTTCACAAGTACATCGAAAAAGAAGAACAGGGAAAAATCCACAAATAGCTACAGTTTGAAGGGTTTATAACTATTTTAATGAAGACGTTCTCCTCTCCAACCCCTGCAGAACAAGCTGATCAAGCTAAAAGATTGAAGGTTGAAGCTGATTCTGTGGCTACTAAGGTTGAACAACCTGTCTCATCCACTGTTACAATATCTGATGCGCTCGCCAAATTTTTTGGAAGTGAAGCAAAGGAGATTCTCCAAACAGATGCTGTGAAACGTATTTGGGAGTATATAAAGCTTAACCAACTTGAGGTAGATGTCTATAATCTACTTCTTTTGTTTTGGTTATACAGAGGGCATGTGTTTGTTTTCTCTACTCTTAGTTCCTTTCTCATTTTCTACCTCGCCACAAGTTTTTAATATCTCTAAGCAATATCATCACATATTTCTGCATCTTTAGCCTATATATCTGCATTTCTGCTTGCAGGATCCTGTGAATTCTACGATGATCGTGTGTGACACAAAGCTTCAGGAACTCCTACAATGTGAAAGCGTTTCTGCCACAGAATTACCTGAGATGCTGGCAGGTCGTCATTTTGTCTAGCAATGACTATACGTCTATATAATTATGGTAGGTAAAAAGCCATGTTGCATTAACCCATTCATATGCACAAATAAATTTAATCTTGGACAACCCCAGAATTTCTTCTCGTTCGTTCAATATCTGAGCTATGACACACGAGCCACTTTTTACTTCTCTTCCTCTGAAGTTGTAAGATGAAAAATTTTCTAGTCTACAGAGAATAACGCGTTCTTAGTGACAATGACAAAATCATTGCACCTCAAGTAATTTTCTAATATCTTATATAAGAATATGCTTGAGTATCTTCATGTGTTATTTTTTGATACCCATAAGCATTTGTATTGAACTTCAAGCTGTGGTTTTTTGCAGGTATTTCACCTCAAGTTGTTCGATGACACACTAATGTTTCCGAAGATGTATCTTGGTTTTTAGGTAAGTTCAGTTTATTAACATAGTTAGACATCATGGTATGTAATTAGATATCTGGATTGATCTGCTCCCGGCCTTATGGCGGAAAGTTGTTTTTGTAATCATGCCACGGCCTTGATCTAGGTTCACTAGCCTCCTTTGTTCTTGTAAAATCCTGGCATTCTTGATATATATGGATAGTAGGAACATTAACAGATCCTTAGCTTGTTCGAACTCGTTGGAATTAAGATGTACATGTCAGGTCTACAATATACATTGGAGAGTATATTTCTCTTTCGTCGTTGATATAAAATTTCTGCTTTCTTATTGCTTTCGTTGCCCTTGTTGAGGAAATGATCTCCTATGACTAGTTACAATTTGAATAGAAGAAGACGACCAGAGGAGTGACATATCAAAGATCGTAGTTATGTCTCTTTCCTAATGCTTATTTCTAGCATATCGATTTTAAGATGCTTGTTCTGTGATAATCTTCATGGATGGCACCAAAGGTTTCTGCCATCTATGAAGATTCATCACACAAGAAGCAACTCAAAATTGCTACAATAACATATCCAGTATAATTCCACAAGTGGGGTTTGGAAACTCAAAATCGCTACGAATCAAAAAAGAAAATTACTAGTGAATTACATGAAGTTCTTAATCAAATACAGCGAAGCTACAAATAGTAGAATCATAAACAAGATTTTCGTAGCCTCTTTCATCTTTCCCTTCAAAATATTTGGAGTCATCTTTTGAATTGCTCTCAAAAGGAAGGATGATATTTTCTGGTGAATTGAAATAAAAATAAAAATAATATTATATTAGTACTTGCTAAAATTGTAGACCATGTATCTATAATTTTGTTATCATATGTATTACTTGTTTTTGAGATTCAGACTTCTTAATTTTGACCGTACATTTAGACATAGAGTTTTTCTAGTTTTTTTTAATAATATTTACATATCTAGAAACTACATAAAAAGTACAGCATCCATAATATTTAGAAGATATATGAAAATATGACGATCCAAGAATAATTTGTTTGACTCTCAAACATTATCACTCACCAATCTAAGTGGCTCAATTTGAAGGAGTGGCTCCATGATCATCTCCACATTCCTGTCATTCAATGGGAAAATCGTTAGTTCGCACTAAAAGATTCATTATTCACCGAGTTTTACATAGATGGTTTCATTATCTATCGAATTTCGAATCCTCTTGATTATAAAAACAAGGATAGAGGAAAATTTGATATTAACATGTTTTTTCCCTCCTCTTTACCTTATCATCATACGACCCTTGTAATAATGACAATGATAGAATCCAAAGCCTTTCACAATAGGAATATGAGTGTCACTGCATTCTGCAATAAAAAATGGTAATCGAAGAACTCAAATTAGTCGATTCAGTAAATTTCAAATATCGATCGATTGAATAATGGGCTAACCTAGTTTCCAAGCAACCCCAATATCTGTTCCATCATGTGTAGTTGGTTTGAAAACAATCTCAAAGTTATTATTCCCTAGGAGCTTTATGATTGATTTGAAGAAATCTATTACTTGCTGCAAGGAGAAAAATAAACAAAAAAAAAATAGTAAGATTTTTTTATAAATAAATCACAAGAGATTTTCGTAAATGGGCATAGAAGATCATTTCCTCGAAGATCACATTGGAGAGATAAAAGAGTTTAACATACCTCCTTGCCATAGAAAGTTTGTAAAGAGGAGGCAACATTGCTAATACATCTACATTCTTCTCCAATTATATCAGACAATTCAATAAGATTTTTATTTTTAAGTGCTTTATAAAGTTTTTGTACTGTTTCCATAGCTTTTGGGTCTTCTTCTGGATTATTATTTTCTGAATTATCTGATTTATTACATTTCAAAGGGTATAGTATGCAATTTCTTTTGGATGAAACTTGGTTTAATTGAATAAAACTAGAAACATATTTTTGGTCATGAAGAAGTTGTAGTTTCTTTTTTCGATGGAGAGAAAATTGGGAGTTTTTTTCTTGGAAAATTATTGGGAATTTTTTATTAGAGATTAAGGTAGAAGGGAAAATATTTAGTGAACTCATTTTCAAGAAAATTGGATGTGTATGAATGTGAAATAATTTGGCTATATATTTATAACACTTTTTTCATAACATGAGTTTCACATATATGAAGAGAATAAAGCATAACATGTTCATTAAGGTTTCAACCATTGCAAGATTGGAATATTTGATATAGTATCATGGCCTAGGGAATAAATATAGCTATATAGGTCAAGCAAAATATAAATTTGAAAACTCATCTTTTTTCTATATTGATGAGGGAGGAAGAGTATCTTAAATCAATGACGGGGTCAGGATTTAAGGAAAATCAAAATATAAAGAAGTGACAGTTCAAAGAGTTTTAACATATAAGATACTTAACTATATAGTGTAATTTTCGAGTAAAAAGGTGTTGATTGACATCGCTTAGACAAGGATGATTTTGCCATTGTTGTGAAACACGAAGTAATAGATTGATGAGTGGAAGAAACATCATACGCAGAGTAATATCACAAATGTGGTTTGGGAGGATGGTGTGTACGCAACCTTACCCTTATCTTATGAAGGTAGAGAGACTGCTTTTTTATAGACCTTCGACTTATCCTTACGTGGAAATTGAATATCCTTAAATCCCAACCAAGCACTATCTAAGCTCATGTGATCTTTTGGATATTTTCCACACACATCTACACATAATTTTTTGGTACCAATCAGCAATCAAAAGTTATATGGTTAAAGCATTTCATTGTGATGAATGACATTTCCTTGGAAATACATTGTTGGATTTGCATGAATGTTATTTAGTTTTGTGTCCATTTTTGTAAACAAATTCACAATGTAGGCACCAAAACATGTTAACATGACCATGTTTTAAGAAAAAAATGTTGGAATTTGGGACTTCAAATAATACAAGATAGTGGTTTTCCCAATTTGTGAATGAAAAAGAAATCTTTATACAAATAGCTGGTTGGATTAATTGTTCAATTTTCCTAATCAATATACATAGACTATACACGATTATACACATATTCAATATGAATCAAATATACATTGTACATCTACCAGCTATTTTTACTTTAAGCGGTTGAGTAAACAACTATTTAGGTTAATTTTTCAATAAAATGAGGTGCGATTGTGCATGTGGATAAGGACTAGGTCCTATCTATAAACAAATACCATTTCATCTTTTCTATAGTTGTTAAAGAAAACTCTTGAGTTCCATAGTTAAATGGTATGTCTATCGTTATTCACTACACCAAAAAGATTTTTTTTTGCGGTAATAAATTTATTTACTGCCACAAAAATATTTAGTAACAATTAATTAAATGTCATGCAATCCAGAGTCGCTAAAGGCTCTAGTGAAATTTATTTTCTAATCGATATAATATATACTAACTATACACAATTATACACATATTACTATATTAACTATACACAATTATACAGATATTATATACTCCCTCCGTTTAAAAAAAAAATGGCCTTATTTCCTTTTTAGTATGTTTAAAAAAGAATGACCCTTTTTCTTTTTTGGCAACACTTTAACTTCAACTTTCCACATGACATGTTTAAGGCCACAAGATTAAAGGGCATTTTGGTACATTTGACATAACTTTAATTTAGAACCACAAGATTAAAAAGTTTTCTTTCTTTTCTTAAACTCCGTTCCAAGTCAAACTAGGATATTCTTTTTGAAACGAAGGGAGTACGAATTAAGCATGTATTATACATCATTGGGCCATGAAATATGACTAGTGAAGAATGTTGACATTTTTAGTCAGTATGACCAAGTGCATATGGGCCTTAAATGGACCCACCTTCATATATATATATATATATATATATAATTTTATTTTTTTAAAAAAAAAAACTCTTACATCAAACATTAATATTTGAACATTTGAACCCATATTAAATGTACATCAATTTTCAATAAAACTTACGTGATTTGGTTAAATAAGAAAGCTAAGATGATATCTATCTTGAAAGCAACTTTATAAAAGAGGGAGGCCCCTACTACTCTCAATAATGTATTTTTGGATTGGTAAGCATATTGCATTTCTAGTTCACTACCAAAAAAAAGGAAATTTCCAATGGACTTTCCGTCAATATAGTTGACTGATAATTACTGGTAATTCTGATTTCATGTAGATGAGTTGTATTCTATAATCTGAACTTAGGATGAATTTTTGTTGGGTCACCTTGGCGAGATCACAATCCCTTTATCCCCGTTGTCGTGTCATATATGTCTCTCAGGACATAAGGTGTATAATGACTTGATATCATCCTCACCTTCCTCTAGGCTTATCATCAAGTAAATTTTCTGTAATGTAGCCTGTTGGTAACATAATTCAACGATTTTTCGACTCATCTAAGTCTATCAAATAATCGCTTTGGCCCTTTTGAAAAAACTAATCATATTGCTTAATTAACAAGGGCAGAGAAAAGATTCACATATCATCATAATAAAAAACAAATTAAAAGTAGATAAACATTTCTCCAATGTTGTTGACAGACAGTCAAGTAATTGAAATTGATGAAATAATTACAAATCTAACAGACCAACTTTTAAGGGAAGAAACCTAGGATTTTATCTTCCTTTCTTTTTACGATGTTTTGATTGCCAAATAGTTTAGTCTTTTTTTTGAGTTTAACAAATGATTGATTCTGGAGTATTGGTGAAGTTGTCTTTTATACGACTTGTAAATATTGTACTTCAAGAATTCAAGTCGTGAAATCAATTTATCAATGATACTTATGTTAAGGTAAATTGTCTACATTACACATTCTTTTCACAGTACGATATGCATTGAACTAACCTTTTTATTAGATTCACCTACAACGTCCTATATGGGCGAAGCAATTAGGAACAAGGTCAAAACTATTCTTATGTATGTTGAATTTCTTACTTCTTGATTTGTTTTTTTTATTATATATTTTTTAAGTTGTCTTAGTGAAAATTGTGATTTCACACCTAATCTATAACAAAAATATATACAACTTAAATCTTTTATGTGAAAATTATCAAATTAACATTGGAAACTAGACAGGCATTCTAACATGGACCATATGGTTTTACAAGTTTTTGCTAAAGTGAAAAAAAAGACTCCAACATGAATCATTAAATTTTAAAGGTGCTTGTCGATTAATGTCCACAATTTTAGGAAAAAATGAGCAGTCCTTATTATTATGTTGTTTTTTTCAAAAAATAAATAAATATAACAATCTTGAATTTGCCTCCACGTATTATTTTTAGGTCATCATCATTGGCAAAGAAGTTGTAGAATGAAGTGATTTTCAATTCATAGACTTATATATAAGTTGAATATATATTATTCGTAAGGGTGACTGAGTTGGTGCAACATGTGATATTTCATAAAAAATATCAGGGATCAATTTCTCTTGTCAACGCCTTTTCGGTTAAGCTCGTCATGTGATCGGATTTGCCTTGTATAGTTTACATCTCCTATGTGATTAGTGAACTATTGTACATAACAAATAACAACAAATTCAAAGAAAAAACTTGAATATATAGTTCACAAAGTTATAATCGAATTTAAAAGATTTTTATACAATATAGTTCAAGAATAAGGCACGTCGATCAATTGGAGTAATCCATCATTATTGCAAATTTGTAATGTATCTTAAGTGGCATTATGAAAAGTCCTTTTTGAGTTTGATAGATTTTTCCCATTGGGAAAAAACAAAAAATGCGTTATGAATCTATTGATGTAACTTTTTTATTTTTTGAAGATCTCTAAAATTTGAATACAATTAAGAGAAAGTAAAGTGTTAGACTTTTTTGTCTTTTCTTGTTTATGTCTTCAATATTTAAGACTTATTAATTTGACTAATTCAAATTCATATAATATAGAATACAATTAAGAGAAAGTGAAGAGTATTCACTATTTTCAAAACTTAGACCATCAAATCTTTACTTATATATATATATATATATATATATATATATATATATATATATATATATATCCCATTCATCGACCACACTTTGTTATAGTATATTTCTATCAGCTTTCCAAGCAATACTTAATCATATATATATGAGATATTAGTTGGTTTTTCATTTAATGTCCAGTATCATTAATTAAACTCAATTAAATTCAAATTTATATAAAAAAATCTCGCATTTCGTTCTCTATATCTAACAAGGCTAAAATTCGAAATCTCATATTATTTCATATAGTTTGGGAGGAAGAAATTATAAATAAGAAAAGCATACTATTATTGAAAATGATATAATTAATGATGTATGTGTTAACAAAAAAACCAAAAACAAGAAAGAAGAAGAACACAACACGTAAATTGTGGCAAAAAAAAAACAAAGAGGAAAAAATGAGCTTGACAGGTCTGATAAGTGATAATATTGGAGATGTTTTAAAACCATTACTATTTAGGTAAAAAAGGAAAAGTACTAGGATCCGATGTATCATTTACTCGTCAATCAAAAATCTCGAGTTTAATTTTCACGATAGAGAAGTTTCTCAGAAAAAGCTTTCATTTTAAGATTTTGAGACAAATTCGAATTAATCAGATCGATGAATGAATTTTGAATAACACATGCATGAAGCCAAAAATACTTAAAAGAACTTGCGTAAGTAGACACATACAATTAGCCAACTTATTGATATTAATTGTTAGTATATATTTCTTGAGTAACTATTTTCTTCGTATTAATTTATGCTACATTTTATTTAATCAATTAGAAAAAAAATACTCTTTTAAAACATCATTTTATTTTTTTAATGAAATAACTTGTAACACAAATATCTATAAATTATTTTTAAAATTTTTATTTTATTCTTAAATTTTGTATATAGTCAAACACCATCAATAAATTTGAAGGAATGGGTAATTTAGTTTTGTTAGTAGTGAAATTATGTGACAGTCTCATAAATAAATATCATTTTTCTACCTTATAGAGGTGGACAAAAAGTCATGTCAGCAATAGTAACATGTTAAATGTTAATAGAGTATAAATTCAAAATACTTTATAATATAGTATATTATAGCATCCTATATTATAGTGGGGTCACAAGGAATCAAAAACATTCCAAGGAAATTAGCCAAACACAAGAGCCATCACACTTCACATCCAATTTTTAAATAATTCACTTGACATATACCATTTGGTTTGCCAAACCAAAAATTAAAAAAATTAAAAGATCCCCATCATATATATGGGATACGAAAAAAGTAAATAAAATATTAGTACTAGTTATTCAACTCCAAAATCATAATAGAGACAATATTCAATTATGGTCCTAATTATTCATTTAGTAGACTAAATAAATAGTAATAGATCCTTATCACAACATAGTTCATACTTCATAGCATGTATTGTCCATTCTGATTCTATAATAATTATGATTTATCTCTTGAACTACGATATTATTAAGCTCAAAAGCATACTTATCATGTAAATTTATATTATATCTTATAAAAATGAGGCATTATTACTAATTGGTATATGCTTTGTTCACTCTAATTTGAGATGTATATTCTGATGACGACTCTATTCTTGTTTTTATTTTTCCCAATGCTATGGTCCAAATTTTCGTGTTCATTTGACGGTGAGGATCTTATAATAATAAAAAAAAATTACACTTGTATTTTAGTGGTAGAAATTCTTTGATGAAGTTTTGTATATATATTAATAAAAAAAAACTCTAGCTTGAGACATTCTAGACTAAAATTTAATGTGCATTGCATATTCTCTAGGTACTTGTATCAATGTCAATAATAGTAACAACAAATATCAAATAGTACTATCTGCCTTTTATATTCTGAAAAATATGTCGGCATGTTAGTATCATTCAAATAATAATACTCCCTCCGTCCCTTTTTAGTTGTCCACTTTAGAAATGACACATAGATTAAGGCAACAATGATTAGCACAGTGAAGTTACAATTTTACCCTTATGACAATTTTTTATTTCAAAATTACAACCACTTCTTTGAATTCAAGTGAAATAAATTGGAGGGAAACAACATACACTTTTACAATTTTCAAGAAGTGTAAATAAGGGTATAATAGGAAAAAATTTGTTGTCCTTTCTTGATTTGTCAAAATGGACAACTAAATAGGGACAACTAAAAAAGGAAATATGGACAACTAAATAGGGACGGAGGGAGTATTGATTTAAATTTTAAAATTTTAAAAACACGAAGAAGCTGAAGAGAGTTCAACATTCTACTATATATACCTAAACGATATCATTTTTCATCGAAAAAGGTCAATCCAAATCCCCTCAACCCTACCTGGCTCCGTTATCGCTCCTTCATTGTAAGAATATCGTTCAAGCATCATTCATCTCTACGGGGATTATTCATTTTCTATATATCTTTTTTTTTCTACAACATCAAATATATATATAAAGTTTTTCGGAGAGCCGACGAAATATGTAAAGTTATTGTCACGTGATTTGCACCATAAAGACCAATCTCTTACAGAGATATAAGCTAATACTGTGTATAACAAGCTCTATTAATTTAATTTTCCTCCGAACATTGTGTATAACGGAAGCTTAGTGCACCCGACTCTGTTTCAGTCAATTATATACAGATAAGAGGATGGGCAAATGACACAAATCCAGCGTGGCAAAATCAGAGAAAGTAATGAAAATGGGGCCCAAATAGCACGAGTAGTACTACCTGGAAAGCATCTAAAGGGTCTTAGGATGGGCCCACTAGGCCCAAATAAAGTAGGGCCCATTTAGAGAAAACCCAAAAGGATTTGGATCTAAAAAGGAAGTGCCACGTCAGAATATGGGGCCCATTTAGACGTTAATGATCGTAAATTGTGATAGTGGGGGCCCATTTCGGCACCGGCTCTTCACTATTATTTTGGACTTTACGTTCATAGCCATTTGTCCACAAATAAAAAATAATAATAATAATAATAATCCAAGTTGGCATTTTTTTTCCTTCAAATTCCTAAACATTCTCATCTTGACTAGTATTGTAGAAAAAAACATTTTACTATATTTGGTGAAATTTTGATGTGATTTTACACTATGTATTTTTACTGTTGTTAATGAAAGGTGTGTCATGCCGACAATAAATAAATAAAAAAATAGTTTGATGTATAAATTATTTCGTGTTTAGCAAGATCTGAAAGGATCGTCATATTTCAATAAGGAGTGATGTAAGTAGTTTATCTTGAGCATGTATCAATATCTGATCATGACTCGAGTTCGTGATTAATAGATTGATCCAATCCAAAGTTGACAACAAAAGATGTATAATTTGAATAGCAGTATCACGAGTTTAAGTTGTTTAATATTTTATTTATTTAATTTATATGATGCGAAGAGTTATGGAGCTTTGGATTTTAAATATAACATAATATTTGTTTGGTTATAAGATTTTTTAAAATACGTGATCTTAAACGTGTCAAAATATTTATAATTAAGAATAAAATATTTAATATGAAGTTAAATTATTTTTAGATTGTAGTAACATATTTTGCAACTTTTGCATTTACAAAACAACTTATTAAAATGAATTTTACTAAAATATACTATCATACCACATTGGTAAATGCACATACTGAAAGAAAATATGTTGCTACTAATTAAACATTTATACAATAATTTGTGAGATCCAATACATACATTAAAAAAGTTTAGATAAAAGGTTGAGTCATTATTTACATGGATTAGCAGCTTGATTCGTTCTAACGGTAAGAGTTGTGATACAGTGATACATACTCTTTTATTTTTCTTTAAATAGAAATCTCAAATTCAAGCTTTAAGTACAAAAACGTGATTACAAAATACTTTACCCTACGTAGAAGTTTTCGGCGTGAGTCAATATTCAATCGAACCCTACTGAAAATAGGATGTGAAATTTTAAAAAAATTATATTTATTCCCTTAAACCAAGAGATTTTGTTGTAAAGGGACTAGAATTAAGAAAAATATTAATTTAAAAATTAGAAGAACATGAAAGCATGATGGTCTTAGTCACCTACATGCCCTACTGCACAAAACACAGGAAGAAAAAAGATATGATAGCTGTTATAGTAAATGGTCTCCACCACCATGTGACTTTGCTATTTCCCAATCAAAACAAATGCTTTTAAACAAACCTAATAAATGAATTAATTAATAATATTATTAAACAAAAAAAAAACCTTCTAGTTGAGTTGAGGATCTATCGAAATCGCATATGTTTAGCTACCTTTTAAGATAGGAGTAAGGTCATGTGTACACACTATTCTTTCCACTTGCAGCATGAGATTAAATATGTTATCGTTACTGTATTATCATATAGAAAGCCCATCATCTTGAAAATCAATAAGGTAAAAACAGAAAGAATGTGTTGAATATTAATTTTCTTAGAAAATACTATCAATGTGAACTTATTCATATTGTTGGTCCTAAATTTGAATGAATAGATTAATAAGTAATTAAATGAGTTTGTAATGCCACCAAACGAAAAGGTTTTTATTTTCTAAATAAATAAGGAAGAAAAAAAGGAAAAGAATGAGTTACTGTTAATTTTTTTTATAAGAGATTGTTAATGTGAACTTATTCATATTGTCGATCTAATGTTTGAATAGATAAATTGATAAATAAATGAATTTATAATTTTTTTCAAAGAAAAACCTCTCCATCTTGAAAATCAAAAAGGAAAAGAATGTGTAAGAATATTATTTTTCTTATAAAATAAGGTAAGCATGAACTTATTCTCATTATCGATCTCAAGTTCAAATTGATAAATAAATTAAGTCATAATGCTATGAAAGGAAAAAATCGTCTCGTTAAAAAACAATAAGGAAAACGAGGAAAGGGGATACAATTTTGTTGAATTTCGGCAAAAATGACATCTATTGTCCTTTTTAAGACTATATATTTAAAAAATAATCAAAATCAAGAAGTTTCAAATTTCAAGTTTTACTTGTTGAATTTGAAATTCCATAACAATAGCTGAAAATGATTATTTGTGAATTTTACTATTTTACTATGTGTTACTTGATGAACTTACTCCATTAGAATCTAGATTAATTGAACATGTAAATTTAAATATCCGATGATTATAACAATAATAACATACTGAATGTTATCCCATAAATGGGGTATGCATATCTTAATTCTATTTTTACAGATATAGAAGTTGTTTCTGATAGATCTTCAACTTGAGTACGGAGTGATTAAACTTATAAAAAAGTAAGGAAAAAAGAAAATGTTTTGTAAGATTATTATTACTTATTTTCTTATTATTATAAGCATAAAGTAAAGTAAAAGTAAATACATTTACAACTAGACATCCAAATCTTTTGTACACCCTTAATTGTCAGTGATGTGAGGTGAGGTGTCAATATGTATATCCTTCAAGATTCTTTTTTCTTCCATTAATTATTTTTAAATTAAATACACTCCATTTTACTTCTCTATATAAAGCTCTCTTATTTGATCATTTTTTCCATCACCAATTACAATTACAAACCTTTTGCCCCTTCCATTTCTTCATTTATTTTCCTCTTTCCCATTTTCTTATTTTTCAACTTTATTCCAATGGCCAGTGTTGAGGTATTTTTATAATTATGTTTTTTTTTTCTATTTCTTTATAAATGAAAACTAAAAACTGATCAAGATCAGTTAGCTAATTAACTTTTCTTCAATGTTTTTAATATCCTGAAATATTATTCGATCATTCTTGTATAAAGATGTGATCATATTTGATATCAAGATTTATTACCAATTTAACTCGAACTTTTTAAAAACGTCAACTAGCATGTTGGATCCTCCAAAAGTAGTGAATTTTTGAATGATTTGATCGATGCTATTGATGAAACATTTTTTAAGAAGTAGAATTTAACACCAACATTTTTAAATATTAGCATAGTGATCTGATAGATCAAATTAGGAAAACACTAAAAAAATAGAATCTTGATCTTACTTACTAGCTATAGTATATGTTTTGATATTATTTTTCCCTTTACACAAAAAAAGCAGAATTCTTGAATCTTTAATTTTGTTAAAACCATATGTAATACTTTTACATATGATCAATCTGAAAACAGTTGATCATTAATCAAAGATATTTTAATTTGATGGATCTTTCTCACTTGATTGATTTTTTTGTCTTTCTTAAAGGTTGAATCTGCACCAGTAGCAGCAGTAGAGACTACTCCAGCTGAGGTTGAGGCTACCCCAGCTCCAGAGGTAACCAAGGTAGCATTTAATTATTTGATCGTCTTATCTAAAAGTTTAATCTGTTAAAAGAAGTTCCACTTTTAATTACTTAATAATGTTTTGTAACACCCGCTCACATGTTATGTTGCTTGGAATCTTCAAAACTGTGATTGCATGCGTTCCTGTCAGATCCTCAGAAAGTAATATAGTTTTTGAGGATCTGACACGGATGCGGTATCAAACATAGCTCAAGTGTTGGTCTGATTATTTTTTTTTGCTTGTCCAAACACGTGGAAGTTCTTTTTTATAATAGTAGTGGTGCGATTTGAACTCAGGACATATGACTGCTCTGATATCGTATTGAATTTTGCATGATCATGTTATTTAAAGTAGGTTTTAATTAACTTAATTGTGTCTTCAACAGGTGGGGGAACCAGCACCAGTTGTAGAAAAGGAAGTCGAGGTTGAATCAGCACCAGCACCAGTAGAAAAAGAGGTTGCTCCTGCTGTTGCGGAGGAAGCAGCAGCCCTTGTAGCTGAAGAGCCTGCAGCTGCAGAACCTGCAGCCGCAGTGGCAGCTGCAGTAGAACCTGTTGCAGCCCCAGTTGAGGAACCTGCGGCTGCAGAAGAACCTACAGCCGCAGCAGAGGAACCGGTGGCTGCAGCACCCGTTGAGGAGGCTGCAGCACCCGAAGCTGAACCAGAAGCAGCCCCAGTTGCGGAACCGGAAGCAGAGAAAGCAGAGGAAGCTGCCCCTGTATCTGAGGAACCAGAGAAAGTTGAAGAGTAAATTCAATGGTTGATGAATGATGGTTTTTTTTTATTATTGAAGTTTGGTTGTGTTTATTTTGCTTCTTAGTTGAGTATTTTATTTACTACTATTATTACTATATTTTAATATAATATGGTTACAACGAGGGCATATGTTAGCATTAACATATGTCTAGGTCTAGGTGGTCGGGTGGGATATTTTACATAGTTTTTTTAAAGCTATGTTTGTTATCTTGTCCAGGGTTCAGTATGTCATGGTTTGATTAAAGATGATATGAGATTTGATCTCTAGTTATGATAATAATAATAAAGGGGTAATATCTTTTTTGTTGTTTTATTAATGGTTTAATATCGGAAACAACTTCGCAAAAAATTATCTAGAAGTCATATCACCAAAATATTTAAGAGCTACACATAAAAAACTGAGAAAATCGATTAATTTCTGTAAATTGGCGCCTAAATGTCCAAAATGAACTTTAAAATGGGGAGACTGTATGAACTGTTCCCCCAACTCCCTACGGAGGGTTCTGTAAAAGTTTCACAAAGAAATGAAAAGTCACAACCCTTTGAAAAGATCTCATCGGAGAGGTCACAAGTGTTCGAAAAAATTACAACCTTTTGTAAAAGTCACAAATTTTTGAAAAAATTTCAACCCTTTTAACATTATGCTTTTAAATAAATTTAAGGGAAAATGCATAAGTACCCCCCAGCCTATGCCCGAAATCCCAAAGACATACTTAACCTTTACTAAGATCCTATTACCCCCCGAACTTAATTTATCTATAATATTCTACCTCTTTTCGGCCTACGTGGCACTATCCTTGAAAAAATTGTTAACATGCGCTGGGCCCACAAGATAGTGCCACATAGGCCAAAAAGGGATAGAATATTACATATAAAATAAGTTGGGGGGGGGGGGTAATAGAACCTTGTTAGGTGTGTCTCTGAGATTTCGGGCATAGGCTGGGGGTACTAATGCATTTTCCCTAAATTTAATATAATATAAAATATAAAAGATATACTAAATTGGATATTTTAAGTTGGGGGCATTATCATAAGTTAACATTTAACATAGGGAACTAATGATTTTAAGAAAGTATAGATATATATATATATATACTATGGATATTTCTTAATTTTTTGTGTGAATTATCCCATGGATTTGGCACCTTGGAGCACCCTAATTTTTTTTCTAAAAAAACTTTATTAGGCCTCCATAATGAGTTGGGGAAACATTACGTATAGTCACACCATTTTTAAGGCTCATTTTCGTATTTACCAGCCAACTTTTAGGAATTACGTGTCTTTCCCAATTTTTCGTGTGTTAATGCACATGGATCTGGAGCCTTGAAGCATCTAAATTTTTTTTCTGAAAAAACTGTTTAAGGATCTCCATAATGAATTGGGGAAACATTATGTATAGTTCCACCATTTTTAAGGTCCATTTTCGCATTTACCAGCAAACTTTTAGGAATTACGCTACTTTTCTGATTTTTCGTGTGTATTAGCTCATGGATCTGGCGCCTTGGAGTACCCAAAAAAATTCATTTTTTTATGAGGATGTAACATCTCGCAATTTGAAATTGCTAGGAAGAAGCTAAGAACTGGAAATAGTCATTTTTGGAAATAATGAAAATCTGGAAATTTGTTTAGGATAGGAAAAGTTGAGTTTTGGCCAACTTCAAACGACCATAACTTCTAGCTCAAAATGAGTTAAAGGTACTTCCAGATATGGTAGGAAAGATCTTGGAATGATCTTTCTAACGCCGCTGAGTTTGCGCGATTCGGAGTTCGTATGAGTAAGTTATGCCCTTTGGAAGTTGGGTTGTTGGAATAAGGAAAGTCCAATCCGGATTTTGAGAGGGTAGTTTGGTCTTTTCCTTGCCCAATTATTTTATTTCATTTTTGGTAATTAAGTTAGGGTCTAATCAGAATTAGATCAATTTACGCTTTTACCAAAATACGCTAGGGCTTGGAGAAAAGACAAAAGAAGAGGAGAAAGGAGAAGAGAAGTAAGATTCGTTCAAGATTCGTCGAGATTAGCTTGTGGATTTTGTCGGGGGTGATCCCTACAAGGTATGTGAGATCACAAAACATTGGGTTAGTTCATCCACGCGCTAAACATGATTAATTCAGCGATTTTCGTTCTAAAAGAGTTAGAATTTGATGTTCTTGAGTTGTGTTCTTGAGATTGTTTTCATTATTGAACTTGTGTGATTGATGGGCTTTCTTGAGATCTTTTGGCGATGTTAAGAGTTGTTTTAAGTTGAATTCTAGTATATATGCTTTGGGTATTTGAATCTAAGAAAGTATTGAGAAAGAAATCGATTTAAAACGATTTAGGATCAGAAACCGAATTGAAAAATTCGTCAGACACCTGGGATGGGGCAGGAGCGGCGCGCCCCATCTGCGCCAGAAGGTCTGGGGCAGCGCGCCTGCAATGCGCCCAAAGTGATCCCCAGAAAGTTGGGGCCTGGCACGGCGCGCCCGGGATGCGCCCAAATAAATGTTTTTTACCAATTTTCGTCGTTTAGCCTATTTAAGTCATTTTAAAGTGTACTAACATTTTCCATTGATTCTAACTACTTTAAATGACTTCTAAACATCTAGAAATCATCCAGAAACATGAATCATAACCTTGAATCCATAAATTCAAATTCAAGGAAAGTCAAGAGCCAAGTCTAGGAAGTTCTTAGAGTCTTTTCAAGAAGTCTTTTTGCAAATGCTTTTAACTTTGTTTTAAGACTTAAAGTTCAAGTTGAGTAAAGAGTAAAGTTTGAAGTCCATTTCTTCAAAGAAGTATATGGGGACTATGTATTCCCAAAGAGTTTAAAATGTTTTCACATTTAAATAAGAACGGAAACTGAGATTTCAAAACGCCTTTGAGCTAGTTTTCAGAAAAGAGTAATCGATTTCTAAATGAAGCAAGAGAGGAAACTTTGATTTCCAAGATAGTCTTTGAGCTAAGTTTTTGAGCAATTATCTCAAATCACAGAAAGAAGTATGTTTTTAAACATAAGAGCTAGTATCATATTTTGGGAGTAGTATTGAGCACCGAAATGGGAGAAAGTTCAGACAAACACACATCCCCGTTAAACCATGTAGCCATCATGGGTTAAAAATGGTCATATTTTTTAGATGATTCCTTTAGTGCTTTTTAGCATAGACTAGTGGATCCACTTAGTAGTTCAGGTTCTATACCCTCGGCAAGGTATAGGGTGTCCATGGCAGCGTGAGGCAAAATGTTGTATTATCATAATAGCTCTTACGTAATGGTTGTTGGTTAAAGAAACTCCCACATAAGTAATTGTATTCTTATATACACAGTTTATTGTATTTTTACATACATTTCAGAGTTATATGTATCTTTGCATACACACAGAGTTGACATCATAATTTAAACAACTTTTCTTTATATTGCACTTGTTTTAAACTGTTTTATATTGAAATGAGTTTAGTTATGTTAAGTGAGTTGAGCTAGGTAAGTTCTTTAGATTCTTTTCAAGCCTATGTTGTGTTTAACATTCAAACTCGCTTACTCGTACATTCAATGTACTGATGCTAGTTTACATGCATCTTATTATGATGCATACACATGTAACTAGGATCGGTATCCAGCGCATTGTTGATCCAGTTGATCATTTCAGAGTCATGTGGTGAGCCTTCTTGCTTTCCGGATGATCCCTTTTATTGCTTTCAGTATTATTATCAGTTCATTAGGATGTCGTGGGGTTGTCCTGACATCCATCTTAGTTGTTTTAGAGGCTTCATAGATAGTCAATCAGACGTTAGTTCATTTGTCATTATCTTGTTATTGGCTTATGATTAGACTTGAGTTGCCACTTTGGCTATGTTAAATGTTTATTTTCTTAAAACATTAAGACTTCAGTTTTGAGACATGTTGAGTTATCTTGTATTTGAATTCTCTTTCTTATGTCTAAGTCTTCTGCTGAGTAAGTAAGTCAGGCGAAGGGTTTGCTTAGGGCCAGCAATGGTTCTCGAGTGCCAGTACCGCCCAGGGTGTAGGCTCGGGGAGTGACAGAGGACCTCCGTAATGAGTTGGAAAAACATTATGTGTAGTCCCACCATTTTTAAGGCCCATTTTTGCAATTACCAACCAATTTTTAGGAATTACGCAACTTTCTCAATTTTTGGTGTGTATTAGCTCATGGATCTGGCGCCTTGGAGCACCCATTTTTTTTTCTTTTTTGAAAAAACTCTGTAATAAGTTGGTGAAGCATTACGTATAATCCCACCATTTTCTAAGGCTTATTTTCACATTACCAGCCAACTTTAAGGAATTACACGACTTTTCCAATTTTTCAAGTGTATTAGCCCATGAATGTGACGCCTTGTAGCACCTAACGAGCGATACCAATCAACATCTTTAATATCAAAACATAGAATAACTTCTTAAACACAATTTAAGCATAGGTGAGAAAACCTTCCACCCATGTGAATCCGTATGTGAGAAATACCTTTCACAAATCATGATCATAGTCATATGTGAGAAAATCTTTCCTAATAACATTGATACTTTCATCTAAAAGCACCCTATAATCATAATCATCATTTTCATAAGACATGATAATTATTTGGGAAAGGTATTTCTCACATATGGATAATCAAATTCATGGTCTAATACACACGAAAAATAAAAAAAAGTCGTGCAATCCCTAAAAGTTGGCTTGTAGATGCAAAAATATGCCTTAAAAATTGGTGGGAGTATACGTAATGCTAATCCTAACTCATTATGGAGGTCCTCATGAAAAAATTCCAGGTACCCTAAGACACCAAATCCATGGGTAATACACACGATAAATCAAGAAAGTCATATAATTTCTAAAAATTGGCTCGTAAATGTAAAATATGTCTTAAGATGGTGGGGGAATTGTCCAGATGAAGGTCCTTAGAAATGTTGTTTGAACTATTTGCCCTTCGTAAAAAGATTTTGTTTTAGACAATAAAAAAATCACCATTTTTTTCAAATATTATACCTTTATTTTAATGATATTAAAT